GGGCGGGCTGCAGCGAAGGGCCTCGCAGAAGGAGCTGAGGCAGAGCTTCGCCAGGTCCAAGGGCATCCACGTCAACCTGACCTACGACGAGCACGTGCACGCCCGAGCCCAGGAGCCGCTCAGCAGCATGCGGAGAAGGGCCCTGCTGAGGAAGGCCAGCTCCTTACCCCCGACCACGGCTCACATCCTCAGCGCCCTGCTGGAGTCCCGGGTCAGCCTGCCCCAGTACCAGCCCACCGCCCTGGACTACAAGCGCTACCTCAGGGAGCACAACGAGCGCCAGTTCTTCTTGGAGCTGGTCAAGGACATCTCCAACGACCTGGACCTCACCAGCCTCAGCTACAAGATCCTCATCTTTGTCTGCCTCATGGTGGAGGCTGACCGGAGCTCGCTCTTCCTGGTGGAGGGAGCTGCAGCTGGCAAGAAGAGCCTGGTGTCCAAGTTCTTCGATGTGCATGCAGGCACCCCGCTCCTGCCCTGCTGCAGCACCGAGAACTCCAATGAGGTGCAGGTGCCCTGGGGCAAGGGCATCATCGGCTATGTGGCAGAGCATGGGGAGACAGTCAACATCCCAGACGCTTACCAGGTAGGCCCCGGACTAGCCTTAGGACTTATGAGTTTGAACACAGGAACTTTCATGCCGGCCAGTCCTTGGGACTCAAGGCCCAGCTACCTGCCTGCTATGGCCCTTGGTTTCCGGGGACTTGGGTGAAGCTTCCTGGCTTCTGGAGCATTGTGACATTCCAGAAGGGCCATGTTGCTCCTATTACTGCTGCCCTAAAAATAGACCAAGTGTCCTCGGAGGAGGGAGTGAACCTAGAAATAAAGGTTTAAAAAATTAATAGGTGTAAGCCTAATCCTAGGTAGAATTCTGAGCTCTCAATCAAAATGATAGGTAGTGAGAGGTCAGGATTTCCAGGTGGCACCTCTGTCAGTTGCTAGGGCAAGCCACTTAACCATACTGAATCATAGTTTATCCACCTTGGAGGGTTTTTTCTTCAGTTGGAACAGACACCTTGCATTCTAACATTAACAGATCACCACAGTAGCATAATGTGAAATTGCATCAGTGTCATAATACAATGTTGTGCTGTGATGAAGATTTGTGGGCTCCTGAAGCTGATTTTGGGAACCATTAATCCCCCATCGGCATTGCTTGCAAAATAAAACTAGAATAGACCAACAAAATCCAGAATAGCTGGCAAGGACAGGATAACTAGCTATAAAATGAGTACTGTTATATTTCTATACTTCACATTACAGAGTGGTTTTATGGATTGATTCACTTTGTAGAGTACTTTGAAATCCTCTGATGAAAGATGCTATAAAAGTGCAAATTTTTATTATGCTTATTCTGTATCAGTGGCTGAGTTAATCTTTCCATCCTGGCAACTGCTAAACCAATCTAAAGATAAAATATTTCCAAGCAGCATATATTTTGGCCTTTGGATGTGTTCCTGCTCACTGACACAGATTTTTGCATCTCCCCTTTCTCAACTTCAGATTACTCACTTTGAATGTTGAGAGTGAAATCCAGGCCTCTCTGATGATGGCAAAACTCCCATGTCCCATTGACCTGGGCAGAGCCAGGATTACACCCTTGCTACGTCTACATTGGCATGATCTTGTGCAAATACTCTTTAACGCAAGAGTTCTTGCGTTAAAGTATTTGCACAAGAGAGCGTCTACACTGGCATGTGCCTTGCGCAAGAGATGTGCTTTTGTGCAAGAGCATCCGTGCCAGTGTAGATGCTTTCTTGCGTAAGAAGGCTCCGATGGTCATTTTAACCATTGGGCTTTCTTGTGCAAGAAATTCATGTTGCCTGTCTACACTGGCCTCTTGCGCAAGAACAGTTGCGCAAGAGGGCTTATTCCTGAGCGGGAGCATCATAGTTCTTGCGCAAGAAGCACTGATTTCACACATTAAAACATCAGTGTTCTTGCACAAGAACTCCCCGCCAGTGTAGACAGGCAGCATGTTTTTGCGCAAAAGCGGCCGTTTTGGCGCCAGATCGTGCCAATGTAGACAAAGCCTCCGAGTTTACTCATTTTAGAGTTCAACCTGTGCACGCGCACACACGCACACACACACGTACTTGCTTACTTACTTTTTAAAGCAAAGAAGCACACATCCCTTCAGGTTTCCTACTCTTTTTTTCTGGCTAGGAGATTCCCTCGGTAGTCTTAAGTGTCTATAATATCAGATTTTAAAGATACTGGAGTTTGTTAGTGCCAGGGTGTGGCCCGTCATTAATTCTCTCTGAGTATATGGAATCTCTGGACAGCTCCAAGTGCTTTCCTTGCAGGAGGTGAGGAGACCACTGGTGTGGCATGGTATTTTCTAAAGGGTGAGGTGTTGGAACAATTCAATCTTTCTTGCCTCTTTTCCTTGAGAGAGCTCAATTATTTCAATAGATGTATTTGTTTGTGGCAAAAAATGGAGAAAAATAGTCAGGGCACATTCCTTTAATTGAGCAATCTATTTATTTTATATTCTATTTCTTATGGTTGGCTTCTACTCATTGTAGTCAGACTAATTTTATAACTAATACACTTCTTCTCTATGTGCTTAAACTAACAAACATATACTAAACGGGGAAGGGAGCCTAGGGGTGGAATCTTTATCTCTGTTCTTCCCTTATGTCCATCAAATTTACACAGTTGCAACTTCATTGACTTCAGTTGAGTTCTGATTATCTTCAGTGACAAAAGTTTCATTCTCTGGTTTTGTTGAGGGTTTTGTCTAAGAACAGAATTGGGAATCTGGCTTCTCTTTTGATTAACCAATGTGATTCCCAGTTAATGCAGTTTATCTTCTTATACCTGGCAGGTTTGTGACCAATACATATTATTAAAGCTAAAGGAATCCTAATTTATTTAATACTGGCAAGAATAAAGATCCCCCTCCCCCAAAGAGGCTAAGGTACACGTGATTAGACAAGTGACAGATGTTCCCTTTCAGATTATTGCTAGTGTTTTCAGGTCATTGTTAGCATTCACAATACACTACTTTAAAATTTAATACAACTATGATATGATTAGTCAGTGTTAATGATGATCCAGGTGTTTGATCAGCTGAAGTGAAAAAACATGATCAGGTAGCTTTTGTCAGGCTAACAGATGGAGGAAAAGGGATGACAGAGTTCTTTTTTATATTTGAGAATGAGTGCAGTGAAGTCAAAGGGTCAGGTGTGGAGAATATTACATCTTTAATTTAATTTAAAGTGTGTGTTTCTGAACATAAACAAGTTAAAGAGAAAAAAATATTCCCCAAGTATCATTCAACTGGTTAGAGGTAAGTGCATTTAATTAATAAGAAATTAATAAGATTTAGGAGGTTTATCATTCAATGTTTCAACCATCACTTTTACTTCCTCAGGGCCTGATCAAACTCTCATTGAAATGGAAGTCTTTCCATTATCTTAGATGGAAATTGGATTGGGCTCTTGTTATAAATAAAGTGCCTTCAAGTTTTACTGAAGTCACAGGGAATTAAGAGTGTTCATTGTGTAACATTGGGCCCTAATACATTAGGTCCCAGTCCTACACGGTAATGTGTGCAGATAGGTTCCCTGAGCCAAACAGAGCTCCTTTGATTTAAATAGTGTGTAATGGCTTACATGGTGTTTTCAAAGAGGATTTATGTTTTGTTACAAAATGCCTTTTTCTGAAGTGGAACAATCATGAAATCAAATAACAATTTGAAGCCTTAACAGTGAATGTAGTGACTATTACTTGATTGGGCTGGATCTTGTTAATCCTTACTCATGTGAGCAGCCCCACTGAAGTCAATAGGACTACTTGCATATGTAAAGGTTTGCAAAATCAGGCCCAGAATTAATTTTAAATTTGAAGATTACTATTCAATCAATTTTGTATTATTTATTAATAGTAGATAAACTAATTGGCTCTATTTCTCCAAGATAATTTGATTTATGAAGTTTAAGAGTTATTAAACAAATATTTCTGAGGGCAGCAGAAAATAGCAAACATTCAGCATATGGAAGTAGGAAACTCTGGTAGATGAATGTCACATGCCTTATTCTAGGCATTATTTAGTCCTACTATTTGATTTTATTTCTTCATTACATTTTCTCATTAGATAACAGGCATTTTAATTACAGTGAAATATCACACATTTCTGCTTAAAGCAAGTCTTTACAACAGCAGAAAAACTGAAAACATTATAATTCTGTGCTGTCATGTTAGTAGAAAGGTTGTTCTAATGAAAATTTTAAACAGAGATTAAGTGCAGAACCTACTGGAAATACAGCCTTGTTTCAGTTTAAGAGTCCAGTTTTGCGACTGTTATTCATAAATAATCCAATTGATTTGCAAACAAGATTTTGTCAGAATTAGTTAAAAAATGCATGTACATTGGTCATTGACATATGAGACTGCT